AAATCTCAAAATCGAGTTTTTGCCCGGACACTACCTTCAAGTGCGGGAAAGGCTCAGGGCGAATTAGTCCCTGCCCAGGCGTGAGTAATTTCGCGAATGAGGTGCAGAGCCCAGGGGAGCGGTCGCAATTCCGAGCCGTTCGAGACGGCGACGCTATCAGTAATGAGACAGAGGGTACATATTCTGTTGTTGTTTAGATCCTAAAATACCCATCGCCATCGTGGTCGTTGTCCAAAATTCTGCTAATAAAGAGCAATACGAGCAAGCTCAGGATACTGTAGAGTGTTATGCTGCATATCACAGATACAAATATCACTATGTAAATGTCGAGGACAACAGTTCTTTGTCGCTTGCCTGTCCGCAGAAAGATGTAAGTTTTTTCAAAAGCCTCATTCCTCGTCCAGTCTAGTCCTTTTTAGTTTATGTTTCAACGGCATTGTGTGGTTGCTCAAATGCTGAGTTCATGGAGCGAAGATTGGCTGTTGTTCCTCGATGCTGATATGGCCGTGGTCAATCCTAACCATCTCATAGAAGAGTATATTCCTGCCAATCCTGATATTCACGTTGTATTTTATAATAGAATTTTCAACCACGAGGTTATGGCAGGGTCTTACCTTCTTCGGTTAGTTCTTTCTTCTTGAGTTTTTGTCAGTATCTTGTTTTTTCGCTCTACAGCGACTCTAGTGGGATTATCAAGGGTATACGGAGTTTCTTCTGAAATGGCTTCAACTGCACCTTTAGCTGAAAGGGTTCAGCATGTTGAGATTACAGCACGTAATTTATCAGGCGTAGGACCTCCCGTCACTGCGGAGTGTCGCGCGCGGCGAAACTCTTGTTCCACTTCAGTCGCCGTTGTGAGTTGTGCTCTCCCACTTTACCTATTGCGTCGCGGCGATCCGTATCGCGAGGGTTTTTCGCACTCTACGAGGGGATTGTCTGCTCTTTCCGATCTCTTCCTCTTTTCAACAGCGCGCATATGAAAAAAAACCAAGACAACGTTAGCGCGCAAAGCCAATAGTTCTCTCTGTCCCCGATTGAGACAGACTGTGAAGGCGGCGTCCAGGCAGACGTCCGGCCCTCGAGGACCCGCCCATTTTCTCGCACGGCCCACCCCCTTGAGACGTGTTTTCACATGGCAAACACAGTGAGCACATAGCGTTTACCTGTTTATGCTTGCTTCCGACAAA